ATAACGCCCCAGTGTCTAAAACTATGAGCCATGAGTTCGAATCTCAGGGGGAACACCATGCCTCACTGGGGAATATAGGTACATTCAAATGAGGAGTCCCATATAGTACGAAATGCCCGTTGTCCTGGAAGCCACTTCTAGTCACCATTCACCAGATTTATTATTATTGTTCCCTTGGGTTCCTAGTGGAACATAGGGCTTCAACTGCACGTCTCCACTTGCTTCTGTCTTCTGCTGTATTTTTCACTTGCATCCATGGTAATCCATACCGTTTCAGTTCCTGTTCACACGATCTCTTCCATGTCACCCTTGCACGTCCCACTCGCCGTTTCCCTTTCGAGTGTCCAATCCATCTCCACTTCCTCCTGCATATTTGTTGGGCGATTGGTTCTTGTTTTGTTTGTTCCCATAGTTTCTTGTTTGTGATTCTTTCCGGCCATCTGATCTTCAGTATGGAGCGAAGACAGTTGTGGTTGATGAAGGTCTGCAACCTGTTGGAAATATTCTTGGTGACCCACCAAGTTTCTGATCCGTAAAGAAGAACTGACTGACTTGACGTTTGTATTGGAAATCCGAATTTTGTTGTTGATGCTGAGTGACGAAGATTTCCAGATTGGTTTCAGGTTGCAGAATGTGTTTCTCGCCTTCCCGATTCTCGATTTGACATCCTCGTCCCCTCCGGGATGATGTGACTCAGAATTTTACTTGGCGTAGACAGGAGCATGATTCCTCGCCAGTTCTTGCAGAGTGAGGCCTAAGTCGCCCTTCTTTGATAGTTTCACGAGGTAACCTTTCCTCCAGTCAGTAGGTACCTTTCCCTCTTTCCAGACCTTTTGCAATAATGGAGTCAGCATATCTGCTGTCGTCTCCGGGTCCGCTTTCAGTGCTTCAGGGGGTATTCCATCTGGTCCAGCTGCTTTTCCAGCTTTCAGAAGCTTGATTGCATTCATGACTTCAGTTTTCGTTGGAGGGTTGGTGTCCACTTGCAGTTGTGTACGTGCTGTTGTTGGTATTTCTGGACGGGTTGTAGGTGGTGGTCGGTTCAAGAGTCCTTTGAAGTGTTCCGCCCATTGTTTAATCTGTCTTTCTTCTTTGGTAATTGGGTTCCCTTGACTGTCTTTTATAGGTTTCACTTGTGTTGATCTCTTCCCGGATAGAGATTTGGTTATCTGATATAGTGTCCTCAGATCCCTTTTGCCTGCTGCCTTCTCAGCTTCAGTAGCCAGGTTGTCGTAGAATTGTCTTTTGTCCTTCCTGGCACTCTTCTTCACTTCTTTGTCCAGTGCTGTTTAAGTTGAGCTCAGCGTCTCTTCCTCTCGTCCGTCTTTGCATTGAATCATTTTCTCTTTCACCATTCTCCTCTCCTCTATTAGCTTCCAAGTGTCCGTTGAGAGCCATTCCTTGTCTTGTTTCTTCTTTCTTCCTAAAACCGTTGAACACGTTTCATTGAAAATTACCTTCAGAGAGTTCCAACAGTCTTCCACGCATGATTCTTCCGTGATGTCACGTAGTGTTTCCTGCTTTGCTCTGACAGTTGCAGTGAAAATGTCCTGTGTGATTGTGTCCTTCAGTTTTTGCGTGTTGAACTTGCATTGTGGCCTATCCCCAGCTATCCTCGAGGCTTTCAGCTTCACCTTGAAAGTCCCTTGTACTAGATAGTGGTCTGAACCCACATCTGCTCCTCTCCTCGATCTTGTGTCCAGTAGGCTCCGTCTCCACTTCCTTGAGATTGAAATGAAGTCTATCTGGTTTTTGGTGTGTCCATCTGGAATGTCATCATCAGTAAATATTTGTGTGTAACACTGTGAGACTTTATCAAAATAAATTTTACCCATAATGGAATTATGCTCTACCACAGTGCACAAGTTCTATTCTTATATCAGCAGGAACTCTTCACTGGACGTCTTTACTTTTATGAGAGAAAATTGCCTTATAAGTCACGTAACGGGGATTCTAAAGGCTAAACTTTTAACATTGTCTAGCTGTGCGTGAGCTTGGTGAAGGGCTTTAGGTGTTTAGATAAAGTAATCAGGAATTTATAGGGGGAGAATCTTATAGCTAGCTGAAGCGTGACATATAAAAGGTGCCTAATGTTTATATCATAAAAGATCTTGGCATAAACATGGTTGAGTCTGCTATCTGCGGTGATATACAAATGAAACGTCAAAACGTTTATCGCTTAAGTAGGATAAATTTGACTAACCGAATTTCCAATGCAGAATTTTGTAGTGACATCCAATTTGGGATTGCCTGTTGATCGATTGGACTGAAGTTTTTGGCCTCCATTGACATGGTGGCTCCTTGTGCGGATGCTCTAATGATATCTGAGGATTTAACCTGAAGTAATCTGGTGAATAACCTCGCCTAGATTATTAGGTCACTAGTATTCTAGCCGGTCCCAAGCCCGGATAAAGAGGGAGGGTTGGGGCGTGGTGCTAGCAACTCCACCCCAAAACTTAACCAAATTGCTACTAAAACTTCAACGCACAAATATATTCAAAATTCTAAAAATACAAACAACAACCTTATTTTTCGCTGGAATCAGCGAACTGAAATGACGCAGGCTGGTGAAAGCCTTCGGGAAGCCAGTCAGCCGATTTGCCTTCTTTCGATGAAAGCAAAAATAAAGATGGGGACGTGGAATATTCGTACAATGTACGAAACTGGAAAGGCTGCTCAGGTAGCCGCAGAAATGAGGAGATATAAAATAGAAGTGTTGGGAATCTGCGAGAGCAGATGGAACGGATGTGGAAGGTGCCAACTGCCAACTGGAGAGACAATAATCTACTCCGGTCACCCAGAGGACGATCACGAGCACACTGAGGGAGTAGCCATCATGATGTCACCAACAGCGGCTAAAGCTCTCATGCAATGGGAACCAATCTCCTCCAGGATAATGACAGCCAGGTTCAACTCAAAAGGAAAAAAGGTTACAATCATTCAGTGCTACGCGCCTACAAACGTCTCAGAAAAAGAGAAGAAGGAGGATTTCTACAGTCAACTACAAACAGTAATGGACAACGTCCCAAAGAGCGATATCAAAATCCTGGTGGGTGATATGAATGCGAAACTGGGAGGAGACAATACAGGAAGAGAACTCACCATGGGTAGCGAGGCCGCCGGTGAAATGAACGAAAATGGTGAACTCTTCTCAGACTTCTGCGCCTTCAGTGATTTGGTGATTGGTGGCAGTGTGCTCAAACACAGGGATATACACAAGGCAACATGGATTTCACCAGATGGACACACCAAAAACCAGATAGACTTCATTTCAATCTCAAGGAAGTGGAGACGGAGCCTACTGGACACAAGATCGAGGAGAGGAGCAGATGTGGGTTCAGACCACTATCTAGTACAAGGGACTTTCAAGGTGAAGCTGAAAGCCTCGAGGATAGCTGGGGATAGGCCACAATGCAAGTTCAACACGCAAAAACTGAAGGACACAATCACACAGGACATTTTCACTGCAACTGTCAGAGCAAAGCAGGAAACACTACGTGACATCACGGAAGAATCATGCGTGGAAGACTGTTGGAACTCTCTGAAGGTAATTTTCAATGAAACGTGTTCAACGGTTTTAGGAAGAAAGAAGAAACAAGACAAGGAATGGCTCTCAACGGACACTTGGAAGCTAATAGAGGAGAGGAGAATGGTGAAAGAGAAAATGATTCAATGCAAAGACGGACGAGAGGAAGAGACGCTGAGCTCAACTTAAACAGCACTGGACAAAGAAGTGAAGAAGAGTGCCAGGAAGGACAAAAGACAATTCTACGACAACCTGGCTACTGAAGCTGAGAAGGCAGCAGGCAAAAGGGATCTGAGGACACTATATCAGATAACCAAATCTCTATCCGGGAAGAGATCAACACAAGTGAAACCTATAAAAGACAGTCAAGGGAACCCAATTACCAAAGAAGAAAGACAGATTAAACAATGGGCGGAACACTTCAAAGGACTCTTGAACCGACCACCACCTACAACCCGTCCAGAAATACCAACAACAGCACGTACACAACTGCAAGTGGACACCAACCCTCCAACGAAAACTGAAGTCATTGCAATAGGATGCAATGACTCATCACTCATACCAGCAATATGCAAAATACTACCACTACCGATCAAGTCAAGCGAAGAATTGAAATAATGGAATGGTGTTCACGTAGTTAGAAAGTTGTGTCAGTAAGTACCTTGATATGATTATGAGTGGCAATGAATGAAAAAAAATGAATTGTGCTCGAAACGTGGTCGTCAACAAATATTACTGTATAATACTGTGAGACTTTATCAGAATAAATTTTACCCATAATGGGAGAGTTACTGCTGTATTTGGTGACACCAACACATAGAAAATAACCTGCTATTCATTAGTAACTGGCCACGAGATGTCGTTCCTTGAATTCCAGTGAAAAGTCGTGAACGGTAGGTCCCACCAAGGCACGTTTTAACGACGTAGAGGTTAGAATTCATAGACCAGTGGATTCCATCCAGATGGTTGGATAACCAGCGAGTTCGTCTCATGATCTGAAGGTCCTGAGTTCAACCGTTGATGATGTCATCGGCACTTGTTTTTTTGTGACGAATCCGAAACTAAGACGAAACCGCTGTCCAACACCACCTTGGCTCTCAGAGGTTCTCTAAATGATGTCAGTCCGTGGTCTAAACTGATAAAATAATGAATCCCTTGCGAACCATCACTCGAATATTTAGGAACCAATTCTTTATAATTCAAAATTTCATTTGAAGAAAAAATCGAAAAATAATTAATTACTTAATGTGTTCATTTTAAACAATTCTCATAATAATAACAACTTATATTGTACCATAAACCGGCCACCTATTTAATGGTCATAATTGCAAAATTACATCGGTTGGTTAAGTTTGTTTATATTACGTGTATTCATTCACATTTGAAATCTATTGAATTATGAACCCCGAACTGTTTGATTAAAACAAACAAAATCATTTCATTAACCAATCTGTAATGAGATTTTAGTTCAATTTTCAATTGTTAATAATTTTATTTATATATATGTATATAACTGATGATAATATCACATTGTATACATCATATTTAAACACGGCAAACATTTAAAGTCAATGTAATAAATATGACATTGTTGAATTCAAATCACATCTATTTGTTAACCTGTTCAATAGTCTACTTACTATGTTATTTAAGTAGTATCAATGTAACTGCTCAAACAATAAAATTTAGTAAAAAATCTGGTAAAGTTGATTATGCTAATCCTGATATAGCGGGGTAAGTGAGAGTTTGTCAGTTATTATTATTATTGTTATTTATTATCTATTCTGTATTATATATAATGAGACTTCCGATGTCTTTTCATCTAGGTTCAAACTCATCATTGGGGTTGAAGAAGCCACTTTAAGTGACTTAAAGCCGCAAGTTGAGTTGAAGGTGAGGGGAAATACAGAAAAATTGAATCATTATAAGCGAAGGTCTTAGAGAGTTGTTGCCTTTTTAATCAGATAATGACAGCCTATAAACAGGGTGTTATAAATCCTCTATTTGGGCCTCCCTTACCTTAATTAGGTGTAGTGCATAAACCAGCTAACTCCTACGTGAATCGAGGCATTTCTCCAATGATGCAACGTTTCAGGCGAATTAAAAAATAGTGTATGGATCTTCGAACACCACAATGAGCTCACCAAGAAGTGAAAACCAACGATAACAGAGAATTTGTACAGTTTTCAGTAAGTGCAGTCACCCAATGAAACTGGCTGGCATTCTAGATAGGGTATCTCGAATTGTCACAGGCAGTAAAAGGTGTTTATTTTCAAATTCTTGTTGTTATTGGTTTGTGATCTTCATCACTTCCGTCTCTTATATGTTCAATTGAAGCTCTGTCTTTTCTGCCTTCTCCTTCTACTAGTTTGTTGGTTTTCACCTATAAGTAATTCCATATCAGTTTGTTTATTAGATGCATCACACAGTCAGCGAAACAGTATTATTTACTGGATGACGTTTGGAACAAAATTTATTATTGTTCATAATCATTTCATCACTCATAATCACACGACTTCAAAACTTGAGTTTTATAGTTTTCTTTGTTCTCTCTTATTTGTCGTAGGAGATTAGTTGACCCAAATAAGATAAGAAATCTAGAGAATAGTTCAGCTATATCACTCACTCACTACATGCAATTACACACAACCATACATAATAGGATGTGATAACATGACAGTTTTAAAATCTAATGTAACAGCGGGGTGGAGGGAGGGATAGATTGATAACAGAAGCTTTGTTTATCGAATCAACTGCAAATACATGTAATAGGAATGATTCAACACCTGTCCACTCGGATATCTGGAAAATTCTACTACCCCAACGAAGACAAATAGGAGAGAACAAAAAAAATATAGAACTCAAGTTTCAAAGTCGTATGATTATAATTGATGATATGGTTATGAACAATAAATTTTGTTCGAAACGTCATCCAGTAAATAATACTGTTTCACTGACTGTGTGATGCATCTAATAAACAAACTGATATGAAATTACTTACCACCACAATGCTGCCCAAATTTTACACATTAATTCACCTGTAAGTCTTCAGAAGAAATGTTGAAAGACGTCACTTTCTTCGTTCATCTGGATAAGTAGCGTCATTTCAACTACACAGACACACAGTGCTCACAAGGATATCAAAACTAGTCAGGTTCAGAAAGGCAGGACAGACACAATCATCCCTCTGAAATCAGTATGGAAATTTTCTCACCTTAGCATCGATTTCAAATCATTTCTCCTATATGGGTCAAAAGCTTGCACTGTATATCACGAAAAGAATTTCTCATGGCGCGCTACAGACATTTTCAAGGTTCCTTCCTTGTCTGGGATTACTACTGATGATTTAGATCCTTTGTTTGTGATGCTGTCTTGCACATATCTGACATGCATGTCGTCATTAACATTACTATTATTATTACGACGACATGCATGTCGACTATGCGCAAGACAACACCAACAATAAGGAATCTAAATCATCAATAGTAATTCTATACAAGGAAGGGACCTCGGAAACCACCTTACGCAGAATTCCTAACAAGGCAGGAATAAAAGTGGCTGGCATTCAAACCCACAAACTCAATTAGAAACAAGCTTTGTCGGTTAAAGAATCAATCCTGTGGAGCCTTTAAAACAAAACAATTTAGTTTATCTAATACCCTGTCTGCAATGATTGTCAGGTCAAATACATAGGTCAAACTGGTAGAACAGGTGCAGTCAGACTAGCCGAACATAAAAACGTAGCGAAATCTAGATTGGTTGACCCGAATAAGATAAGAAATCTAGAGAATAGTTCAGCTATATCACTCACTCACTACATGCAATTACACACAACCATACATAATAGGATGTGATAACATGACAGTTTTAAAATCTAATGTAACAGCGGGGTGGAGGGAGGGATAGATTGATAACAGAAGCTTTGTTTATCGAATCAACTGCAAATACATGTAATAGGAATGATTCAACACCTGTCCACTCGGATATCTGGAAAATTCTACTACCCCAACGAAGACAAATAGGAGAGGACAAGTAAAACTGTTAAACTCGAAGTTTCGAAGTCGTGTGATTATAATTGACGATATGATTATGAGCAATAGACAAATTGTGTTCGAAACTGTGTCATCCAGTAAATAATACTGTTTCACTGACTGTGTGATACATCTAATAAACAAACTAATATGGTATTACTTAATACCACACTGTCCAAGTTTTACACATATAGTTCATTAAATGTGTAAGTTTTCAAGTGTTAGTTTGTAATGATTTGATTTGTTTCAAGTTTGTCGACGGATTGTTATCATTTAGAGAACCACTGAAAACCACCAGGAAGTATTGGACAGCTGTCTTGTCCTAGTTTGCGACTAATCGGAAGTACTCACCCTGTGCCAGGTTCGAAGCCAGGACCTTATGGTTATATAAGTCAAGTTAGCTCATAGACCACTCAACCACTGGGACCCAACTTAGTGATTAGCCGATGAATTCTGACTTCTACCATTTAGCGATCTTAGCGTGACCAGCAAACTAGGACGAAATAGCTGTCCAGTACTCTCTGGGTTTCAATGGTTCTCTAACTGATATCAATCCGTGGTCAAACTCTAAAGGAATCAGAAATACTATAATTAGTAGCCGATTAAAACGTTATGCAAAGAGAGGAGAAAACTCCTGGCCACCTTATCTCTACAGCTTGCCTCCTTTTAAGTTAACTAAAAGCGAAAAATAACCCACCCAACTCATCCCCCATCCGAATCATCTGCATTGCTGAAGTTTTGACTGTCGAAACAGTAAAGCCAGATCTTTGTATACAGAAAACATTTTTTCAGTTAGTCCTTTGTTCATAGCATTAGTCCGTCTATGGTAAGCCGTTATAATCCCCAATCATACTTTGACCCCACTTATCCTTCGTTTTATTTATTCACTTTGTATATGCTTCCTTCCCTTATTATGTTGAGTGCTATTATTAATTTCACTAAATCCTTCCGAATATCAGACTGTTAATTTCAGTTTCCGATGTAAAAGAAAGTTAAATTAAGCCGTTGGTTCCTATGACCCTTGCAAAATTGATGACAGTGATATAGAAATCAAGTCTGACGTTAAGTATCTTGGATTAATTCTTTCTTCTGACCTATCCTGGTCTTCCCATGTCTCAGCGATATCTGAAAGAATATTTCGTCTGACTTTTTACATTAGGAAGTTAAGGCACTCAGGCGTAACTCAACGCCTCCTCCTCTTACAGTTTGTCAACTCGTGTATTTTACCTATTCTTCTTTACTGTTCACCCTTGCTTATTCTTTCCTGGATTGCTTAAAAAGGACTATGTCATACTTCGTAGAACTCTGAAGACTGTCAGTCAGTAGGACGAGTGGTCTCCCATCGGGCCATATCGTTGCCATTGTCACTGATAGGCATTTGATTTCATGCAACAAATTCGCTAAAGGAATTTTATCAGACTCTGAGCACCCACTCTACCCGCAGCTCCAACCTTGTGTCCCCTCAGGTAAAACAAGAAGTCTTTTCAGAAGACTTTATGCACATACGTCTAAGTATAAAAATTCCACTATACCATATTTAGCACGTACTTTATGTGATGAAAATAGTATCAGGCATGAACTAACAAACCTTCTTAGCGCCACTAAATAAACCATTTCCTCCACCCTTACAGCATCAAACTTTATTGTTATTGTATTTCTCATATTTATAATCCTTTCAATTATTTGTTTTTGTTTATTTTTCTCATAAGTGTGGACATAATTTAAGCTGTGTTATAACTGTTAATTTTGTATTTCCCCTCACTATACTATATCAACGGAACATTAGATCCAATAATCTATAACATGTTAAAGTTTCCAAACTGAATCGACAATACTGTTTGAAACAAACTCACTGTTATTATTATTATATTTAATATTCTCAATTCGTATTTCGAATATTTTTGACTTTATATCGTAAATGTGGACCAATTCCTCCGGTTAATTTTGTTTTAATTTTTAATTTTATTTATATTTTAAGTAAATCAGATGCAATATTGTGACAAATGCTGAGAATTCCATTCTGTATTATAAGTACTGTTTTTGGAATAAAGCGGATTTTTATTATTATTATCACTTTCCGAGATTATCTCACTTGTCATCATTATTCATTTGACTCAATGTAATTTCTTTAATTTTGCCTTATCATAATTATCACCCTGTTGAGTAATGTTTAAATTGCCTAATAAATTTATTATTTCTACACCCTCCGCCATTTGAGACTTATATATTTCAGGAGATATTTTATCAAGTACCGAGTGGAACATACGGCTTCATCAGCACATCTCCATTTTGCCCTGTTTTCTGAAGTCATCTTCAGTTGACTCTACGATTGTCCATAAGCTTTCATCTCCTCCAACTCACAGGATCTCCTCCATGTCACCCTCGAACTCATGCCCAACTCGTCATTTCTTGCTTGGGTTCCACTCAAGTGATGCGCCTGGTTCGCGATATCACCTGACGACCTCCTCAGAATGTGTCTCAACCGTCTATAATTCCTTAAGGATATTTGTTGAGCAATAAGTTCTCTATTGGCTTGTTCCAGAAGTTTTTTGTTACGAATCATTTCTGGTTGGCCACCTGACCCTCATTATGGAACCAGCGAAGGCACGTGTCGATTAAGGACTGCAGCTGGCTGTTGGAAATGCTTTCCGCTACGCGCTATCCAAGTCTTTGATCCACATAAGAAGAAATGACTGACTGACT